ATCATCATTTCATTTTATTTTCCTACTGTCTACGGCCACGCAGTCTAAGAGACATCTGTCGCTGAGTCATAAATACCAGCCACCTGTATCATTGGAAATTTTCTAAAAACCCCATTAAAAAAATTAAAAGCAGCAGATAAAACGAATTTTATGTCATATATCCCAACATACCAAAAATATTGTTTGATTATGTCATCAATATACACTTATTGAGCTAGTTTACATGGGGGGGTACTCAGTCTTTAAAATCCAATGTGCATTTCAAAAAGGATAAACTCATGCCTTTTGCAGCAACATGGATGGAGCTGGAAGGGATCATGCTCAGTGAAATAAGTCAGAAAGAAAAAGAAAAATACTGGATGGTTTCACTCTTAGCAGGAGCATAAAGGACCCAGGGGAAGAAAATGAACAACTATATACAGAGATGTTTTAGGGAGGCGGAGTGGGAAGTGGGATCAAAAATGGTGGGGGGGAGCGCACCGGACTGTGGTGACGGCACAGGGTGGTTTGGTGGTAGGAAGCCCACGGGATGACAACTGAGATGGAAAAAGGCACAAAATGATGTAAAAATGAACGATTATTTAAAAAATCCAATGTGCATTTAATTTTGCTCTTATATCTCAGTTCAAACTGGTCAGTTTCACGTTCTCAGTTGTTAGAGATGGCCAGTGGCTACTGGTTGGGTAAGGAAGGACTAGGGTGTCAGTGCAAGATTTAGCAGAACAAGGGATTACAGCTTCAACTGTGCCCATCTAAGGGGGTGCCGGAAACAGCTCCCCCTTAATTAGGCTATTTGCTGTAAGATCTTTTCCAGGATAAAGACATTCTCTTGTCTTCCAAGTTTTAAATGAAAATGATGTGGCACTTTCCCTGCATCTACTGAGATGCTCACATATATTTATCTTTCTCTTGACTTACATGGTGATTCACTGACAGATCATCAAACATTAAGCCAACTTCGCATTTCTGGATGCGACCCAGTTTTGTCACCATGTATTGTCATGTTTGTGTTTTGCCAGCTTTAGCGCCCTAATATTTAGTTTAGGAATTTTCGATCCATATTCACAATGACAGCAGCCTACAATTTTCTTTTTTGTATTGTGCTTATTGCAAAAAGAATTGGGACAGTTCCCTCTGCTGTGACGTGGAAAAGTTGGGGTAAGACTGGAATTCTTTCTTTTTTAAAATAAACCCAAGGGGAAGCCCCGCGGGCCTGAGTTTTCTTTGTTATGTTGCTGATTTGGGGGAAGTCTGATGTTCATCTGGTGCCACAGAACAGTATTACTACGGAAGTCTTTTTTTTTTTTTTAAAGATTTACTAATTTATGCGTACAAGAACTGGGGTACAGGCCAAGGATGTGGGGATGGGGGATGTGAAAGGATTCACCAGAGGATTCAGACAGAGTGGGGAGCAGAACAGGCAGATCTACTGAGCGGCAGGGGGCCAGGAGAGGTCTGCCACACCATGTGGGTCACTCCCTGGCCGGGAATCGAACTTGCGCTACAGTGGCTTCAGAGAGCTCCATAGTGCTGCGCCACCAGGAAGGGCCCACTACTGGAAGTCGTTTCACACCAGTTGCTACGTCACTTCCACTCCCAGCCACAGTTGGGGGGTGCCCAATTCCCCCTCCCCCATGGTGCCCTGGGTCCCCCAGGCCTTTACTGACCTTTTCCAAGTGCCACCTTCCTGCCTGGTTGGTCAACATTTTTGTGCTAAGACCAGAGATGGCACTCATCGGGTTTTCTCATGAGTCAGGTTTTTTTTAAGATTTATTTTATCTATTTATATATACCAGAGCTGGGGTGTAGGCCAGAGGTATAGGGGACAAGGATGAGAGGACTCACCAGAGAGAGTGGGGAGCAGAACAGGCAGACTGACTGAAATCCACTGCTGAGGGGAGCAGCGGGGAGACAGGAGTGGTCAGCTGTGCCCTGTCGGTCACTCCCTGGCCGGTGATCGAACTCAGGCCATAGTGGCTGGTGACAGCTTAATAGTACTGAGACTTTAACCCAGGGAGGCTTTCACCAGAGAGGCTCCTGAGTCAAGTTTTGATGTTATCTTTGTCTAGCAATGTTCCTTTTGTGTGTGTGTGTGTGCGCGCGATGTTCCCATTTTTAAGATACTTAATAAAGCTGGGAATAATAACGTCTTTTCTCCATATTTCCTGAAGCCTGAACTTTTCATTCCTGATATGGGTTAGTTGTGCCTTCACTCTCTCTTGGTCTGTTTCAGCAGAAAGTTGTCAATACTAAATCTTTACATAAAAATTACTTTTCGTTGTACTGATTCTATTTCATTCCCTTTTGCTCCCATCTTTATTCTGTCTTCCTTTTGTTTTCTTTGGTTTATTTTACTCTCTCTTTTCTAGCTTCTGAGATGAGGGCTTATTATAGTCTTTTCTCTTTTCTCACATAAGCACTAAAGGTCATATACATCCTTTTAAGTCACGCTTTAACCAATTCCGCAATTTTAAAGAACACATTTCCATCCTCATTCAGTTAACAATGGTATCTTTTCCTTATGATTAATTTTCAGGTTCATCAGTTATTTAGAAGCAATACTTCTTAATATCCAAACAAAAAGTACTTCTGTAGTTATCTTTTTCTAATTAACCCCTGGCTGATTTATGTTGTCATTGGAGACTGTACTATGATTTCAGACTTGCGATGGCCTGGTTTAGTAAATATTCTATATGTCTTAAAAAGGAGGGTATTCCGTGGCTGTAGCTGTAGCGTTCGATAAAATTCCGTTAGTCAAATGTCTTCATGATAACCGTTTTGAATATTTTTCTGCTTCTTCTACCAAGGAAGAAGGAAATATTTGAAAACCTCCCACTGTGGATTGGTTTTCGTGTGTGGTTCTCTCCTTCATGTTTCTTCTGTAGTAAGATGATGGTATTTACAAACACATCGGAAACTGTTCTTTCTGCTGAACTGGACCATTTTCTTTATGACCTTCTTTATCCCTCATGATGCTTTTCCCTGACATTAGAATAACCTCTCCAACCTCCTTGAGTTAGCCTCTGCATGGCGCCTTCCCTCTGGCACTTCTTTCTCTTTGGGATCTGGGAGGGTCTCTTGTGGCTGTCCCTCTGGGAAACTGTCTCTGTGATAGCTGGATTTCATCCAGCCTGGTCACCCTGTGTTTCAGCTACAATATTTAATCTAGTTGCATTACATTAATTGAATTATCGTACATTCGAATTTAGATCTCTCATCTTATTTGTCTCGTCTTGTATTAATCTTTCCACTTGTACTAGCTTTAGTGTTGATTTTTCTTATTCTAATCCCCCCTTCTAATAAGTGAGATAAATATTGTGCATTACATTTCCATTCTTGTAGTGTTTATCTAGTAATGACAACTTGCATTTTAACTCATCCAAGTTCAAGTGTAATTCGTATCTATTCTTGACTATCCCCACCCCAAGAATGTAAGGACCTTGGAAAGCTTTTAGTCCACTCAGTCGTGATACCCCATTGTGTTTTAGTTTTTTTTAATTTTTTATCCAGAAGACCTTGTAACTGTTTTATAATTATCCATGTTCTTCATTGTTCTTTATTCCGTATCCCATCAGCTGTCTGCGATATCTTCCTTCGGTCTCAAGTTCCTCTGCTGGAATTTCCTTCAGGGGCTGTCTGCCAGTGGCAAAGTTTTGTTTTCTTTTTAAAATAAATGTTATTATTTCACCCTTATCCTGGAAAGATATTTTCACTGAGTGCGTCGTTCTTGAAAGAACTTTTCACCGGGTATGTATTTCTAAGATAATGGTGATTTTCTCCCAGGACATCGGATGCATCATTTCACCGCTCTTTCCGTCGGTCCTGATAAAAAGCCAAGTATGTGCGCGCCAGACAGGCTTTGGGCTTCACGCTGGGAGGAATGGCGAGCCGGGGGGGTGTTAAAGCGCCAGGGGGACCCGGCCAGCCGTCGGTCTACTAAGCGCACCGTGGCACTGGCGGGCCGCGGGTCGGAGGGCACGGCAGCCTGGGCGAAGGCAGTCGCCGCGGCCCAGGGCGAGAGGAAAGAGGAAGCGGGCGGTGGGCGTCGAGGGGAGGGGGGCAGAGGCGCAGCCCTTGGGGCCAGCGCAGGTGGGCGCGGGGAGCCGAGGGCCACCGGCGAATCCGGATTGCGGCAGCGGAGAGAGAAGGGGGCTGGGCTGGGCTGGGGAGGGATCGAGCTCCTCTCGGGGTCGGCCCAAGTGCTGAGCACCTACTACGCGCCAAGCGCCAGCCCCGGCGACGGC